TTCTACTATTTAGGATAGCTTTCAAGTCATGATCCATATATCTTAGTTTGATGACCTTTTAACAAATAAAAAGTTATATATATATATGAAAATTTTTAAAAAATACTATTTTTCAAGTGTTACTTTACAAAAAATGCTATACTTTTGAAATCTTTACAAAAATACCATTTTTTCAAAATTATTTTTTTTATATTATTTATGTTTGGGTTAACTATGTTCTATTAAGATTTAGTTATGAGGTTTTAGAGGGTTTAGGGGTCAAAACATTTTTTAGTGTTTAGAATTATAAAATATAAAGTTTAAAAATCTATAATTAGTGGCATTTTTGTAAATGAACATCTTTAAGTAGCATTTTTGTAATTTCTCGTAAATATATTCGTATGTGAAAGATCTAGAAAAGGTACGAAGATTTTTTTCTCTTAGACCGTTATCGATAAAGACTCAAAAGTTTATATAACCTTTGTGTCAAAGGTCACGATCATCAAGATCAGAGGTTATAGATTGAAGGATCCTTCCTCATCTCCTCTTATCCATTCTTCATTGTTTCCTGTTTTTGGTATTTGTGTAAAAAAGCAAAGTCAATTCTTCTCTTAAACTAATCCTCATAATTTCATGGGCTTTTCTGATTAATGTGTGGCTTAAGGTTTAAATATGATGGGTTTTGAGGTTATTGTTGTTGCTAAACTCACACATTGTTTTCGATTTTTAGTAAAAAGTAATTCAAATTATATAAATTAGACGCAAACAATATACGGATGCACGTGATTACCTAACTTCTATAGTTTGCTTTCTTTATTTTTAAGAAAAAGTTGGATTCTGTATGATAAACATGGTGACGTCAACATCGTAAATTATTACACGAAATACCTTGTAAATTTTGTTCTCTAACACATCAAACTGTGATTTTAAAGGAAGAAAATGGTAGAAAGTACGCATAAGGTTTAATATACTGTAATCAATTGAGTTATTTTCGGGAAACTCATACACTATTTTGAAAACAAAAGTGAAAAAGAAAAACATGTGGAATATTATTAGACCAAAGCTGTCTAATCTTGGTCCCAATTTCAAAATAATTATCGCAAGAAACACTTTTCTCTCCGTCCCTCTCTGCTCCTTTCTCTCCAAACACTCCCAAATGATATTATCACAAGAAGTTAATATGTGTTTTCATTTTGAAAAGAATTCTCTTAATTTAGACCACTGATTCAATTTTTATAAATTCGAGAGACAGGACCCCGCCTATAATTTAGACGTTTCTAGACAAATTTGAAAAAATGTTTCTCTTTGTATACACCAACCACTATATCAAAGAAAGAATATATATGTTTCCAAAAAAATCCATCTTATAAACATAGATATTCGTCTAATTTAGAAGATGAATAATGCATTTAGAAACAGTTTTATTCAAGGCACAGTGTTCAAGCAGGGAATACTTGAGTCTCTCGTCAAGAATATTCTTTATGTTGGATCCTCGTCATTTGACTAATATAGCCGTAGCCCGTAGGTGTGAATTCCACAATTTTTGTTTTTTGCATTTTCTGGAATCTTTACTCTAAATTAAACAAGTTTTAGATATAGTAATCCTCTATAACTCTTCTTATGATTTTGATTCCCGTCCCACCATGCCAGTTTTATTTGCATAAATATAGTCTTCAATTATAGGCCAAAACACACACACATATATATAAGCAATATACGGATACAATTTATTGTGCTCTCTCTCTCACACATGATCGGATGATTTGTAGTATTAATTATTAACAGCTTCCTTGTTTTTTTTGTCTTCTTACAAAAACCATACTGATTAGTGATTAGTAGAGAACTCATTCCATATCCATAGATGAGGAAAAAGTCGGTAGCCTTTAACAACGTCCTTGTGTGAAACCCGAATGTATTATGTGCATCTCTATATCCGTACTAGACTTACCCACATTTTACTTACATAAAACAATATTTATACTCCTTCTGTTTTATTTTATATGATGTTTAAAGTTTTTGTATATGGATTAAGAAGTCATTTAATCATTTAATTTTTCAATACAAAACATGTTTTATCATCAATTTTAGAACAATTCAATCAATGAAAAAATAATCTACATAATTTAAACAGTCAAAACAATAAAAACACAATTAATTTTTTCATAAAAATCTGAAAATATCAAATAAAATAAAACAAAAAAACTTATCTAAAACATCATATATAATGAAACGAAAGAACCGAGGAAGTATTTAATAACATATGTAAACCTATTTAAAATTATGACAATATACTATAGAAATAAATATTCAAAAAAATGCATAGGCTGGAAAAAACGATAGTTGCACGTTACCCCAAGTAGAGCTAATTAAATTCAATATTTCATTTTATTCTCTTGCTTCATCATTTTCCACTTATCTCTATTGTGGAAGCACTCACTATTTATAAGCACCAAGACA